GATTCCTGTAAGTCAGAATTGCAGTCTTTTGTGCCTGTTAAAGTCTTGCCTCTGAACTTTACTGTCCCTTTTGGAACGTGGGATGAAGAGGAAATGAGGCAGCACAGGCAGGTGCAGGTGTTGTGCTTCATTGGAGTCTGGCAGAGCACTGCTTTCCTTCATAGCTGCCTCTTCTGTTCTTAGAATGTGTGAAATATGTACCAGGGTACTAACTGGGTCCCACTGTATCTCATTCCATGTTTTTATCTGTAAAGAAAGTGTTCTGTGTGCATGTATGTCTACATGTCCTGTGCTTTGTAAGAACTGTCAGAAATCTTAAGCCACATTTGAGATGTGTTGCTTGGACAGATGTTTTGATTCTACTTACTGATGGGATTAACTGTGTTTACAGAGTTTCTGCCTTTGGACAGTGTGTTATGAACTGTACCCAGAACTGGGGAAATGTAAGACACCAGGAAGGGTTTTATTTACAGAGAAGGCTGTCAGTGCACAGTGTTATATCCGGGGCTCTGGAGCATTTACCTTGTCACAGCCAAACCCTGTTCTTTCCCCATCTCCAGCCTCATGAGTCTGTTGTTGCCTGGTTTTCCCTTCATCTCAGTCCAGATCTGCTCTTTAGCTGTCTCAGGAGCTCCAGGCCCTGCCTTTAAGGCCTTCATTCCTTGTCTATATTTTTAACTCCAGCTCCTGTTCCATAGGATTCCTCCCCACAGCTTTAGGTCTGACCCAGCCCAGCTGTGTCAAGTCAAGAGCAGAGAGGTCTGTGTTCCTTTTACAGCCTATGTTTTCTGTAAGGAACATGCAATTTCCAAGAAAACTGACCCATTGGAAGCATGAATTCCCACTAGTGAGGAGTTCCAGAACACCCTGATGTGCTACACTTTGATCAAGGGTGATCTCTTCCTTTACAGACCTGTTAGCATAGCTTGGTGTTGATCTGTTGGCTAATCCACAGAATCTATCACAGGAAGATGAGGAAATGAGGGAAGAATGCACCATTTTGGATTTGACTTCAGTCACAAAGTGCACCTACTACTTACCTGAAGAAACCTTGGTCTAATGACTTTGAAATAATGAAATAATTTGGCCCTTGTAGGTTCATTTGATACAAAGAGTAGAAAAAGAAGTGATAAAAACATCATGGCAGTGAAGTTGTTAGACATCAACATTCCTATATATTTTCTTTAAAAAATTTAAATCCAATTGTTTGGGATTTTGGTATACAGTATATTAAGGGTTAAAGATGGTGAGATTTACAGTAGGGAGAAAGCTTTAACTTAATTGTGGAATAGTAATAACCATCTCATATCAATCTTCTAAAACATCCATGTGGCATCAGAATGCTGGCAGCTGGGACCTGGGCTCAGGGGAATACCCTGCAGTGCTCTTAGCTTGGTGTACAGGATTAGACACATTCCCCATTCCCCAAAGTCCCAACTTTTCAGTGTGATTAAATCTTGGGTTGAAATGTCTATCTTGTGACATATGGAATAACCTGAAGTAAGACAAACAAACTGAAATGGTCCTTTCTGTTAGAAGGGGATGAAAACAAAACTCCAAAATCTCTTAAGAATTTTAGATTCCAAATTTGTTGTTTTTCCATGTAGTCTGTAGAGCACAAGAAGGCCAAACACTTTTAACACTTGGGTGCTGAGAAACCACATTTGATCCACCAAAAATAAAAATTGCCTCTTGACCTTGTAAATTGCCTTGTTCTCTCAAGACCAGACCTGTGAAAGTTCTTGTAACAATGGTAACTTTTAAAGCAATGCAAGCATGGTGCTTTATAAGATCTGTTGCTTTTCTGTCCTTCCAGATGGAAGAAGATAAGGGTTCAGTCAGCTCAGCATGTGACTTTGCTGAAAGCAGGCACAGAGGGGAGGACAGTAGGCAGCTGCTAGACCCATCTTGCCTGCCCGACAGTTCTTACCTCCACTAGGTAGTACTCCCACTGTACCCTAATGTGTGTGTGTTTATTTACATATATCATACAGAGACAGTCATTGAGCCATCTCCAAAATACCCATATTTTTGATATCTGCAAGAAAAATTGCATCATAGAATGTTGGTTTGATTTTATTTTTCTTTATCAAGCTCAATCATTCTTTAATTCTGCACCTCAGTTGCTTTTTGATTTATTACATCCAGTGGGCCATTCTCATATGAAGTATTATGTTTATTGAGATTCCAGATCTCACCTTATAAACATACTTTGTTTGCCACCCAAATATTAATAATATCTGGTATTTCTCTACACTCATTAATTTTTTTAAAGCATTGTCTCTCCTGTCGTGTGTTTCCTGAGGGTTTGTTTCAGGTCTCCAGGGAACATTGTGCCTTCCTGCCTTGCCATGCTAGGTTTTACTTTGGTATAAAATTCTGACCATAATTGTCCTCCACAGAGAGAAAGTGAGAAAAGAGACTTTCTAGTATATGTATCTTCCTTCCAGGTAGTGGATGTAAATAGAAAAATCTGTGTTCATCAGGCAATGATAAACAGTATATCTACATATAAAATTTAGTTAGGTTTTTTTGTCCTTAATGTTCTCACAGCATTTCTTTACACTTAACTGTGTACACTGTGAGTTTGCTAGAAAAGAATTGTTGTTTCCAGACTTATGTAAGGTCTCATTTGCTATTTTTTAAAAAAGTGATATTAACTTTTCCAGAGGTATTGGTTCAAGCGTGATCTTTTTGTATCTAACTTGTGAAGAATAAAGGAGATTCTCCAGAAAAAGAGACACTAGACCTCCAAAATCCAGAGTTGAGGGTTTGCTCCTTGGAAGCTTTTTTGGGTTACTCTTGGTTCCTCTTTCTGGCAGTCTTTGGATAATATCCAGGGCTCCTGGCTCTCAGGGTAGCAGATTCTAAGGAAAAAATGCTCTGGTTCATCTGATCCAGCATACAGCTGCTGTAATGTGACTTTCTGCAGTAAATTTGAAGGCCTGCTTGAGCATAATGGATGAACTAAATACTCTGTTTGAAATCCTGAGTGTAGCAATGTTACAGTTTTGTATTGCTGTGGCCACAGCTGTGAGGGTCTCTCCATCTGCAGCAGGGGGTTTGCCTGCTGACCTCCAAATGGGAATTCCTTCTGCTCTGTGTAATCTCTTGTGTCACAACTCACAGTCTGAGGTGGCTCTGAGGGTCATATTTGCTGGTACTGCAGTGCTGCCAACTGTGCAGTTCCTGATTCTGGTATCTTCTGTGGCACTGCAGTTGGGACCAGTCATGGTGGTCATCACATGAGGGTGTTCAGGGACTCAGGCTCTGTTGAGATGTGTTTTGTTTTGTTTTGTCTTTTGACCAGAACCCCTTTCAGACCTGTCACTTGCAAATCTTCTGCTCCTGCCTGTACAGAAGTTCATTGTGACAGTAAATGTTCCTTCTGTGTCCCAAAGACCCCCCAGATGAGTGTGTGAGTCAAAGTGTGTTCTGCCTGTACTCAGCCACAGCCTCTGAGGTGCAGCATCCACAGGATCAAGGGGCTCAGTTTGTGGAGAATCCTGTACACTCCATCAGCTGCTGAGTGACAGTTCTGTGAACATCACAATGAGTGGTGTGATGGGAAGGTCTGGAGGGGCTGTGGGGAATGTGGCACAGGGCTGAGGAAGGGCAGGCACAGGAAAAGGTGCATGGAAACAAACACCAGTTCTGCGTGTGTTCCTCCTTGTCCTACCAGCTGAGATTTTTTCTCTTGTATTTCCAAAAGCCTCTTGTTTCTGTTAGCTGCCTCTTCTTTGTTGTGTAGGCTGTTCCTCTGTTGTGAAGCTATAAATGTGTCCAGCTGTTTGTTTGGGGGAATTAGGAAAAAGAGTGTCTCCACTCAAAGTAAACCATTCCCATAGGGAACTCTTGAGGTTCTTTGCTTTCCTTGCAGTTTTTGGCAACTGTGGGTGGCATGGAATAAATTTGGGCTCAAAAACAGAATCTTCAGACAACAGTCAGTGACCTTTACTGTCACAGTGAAAAGTTGTGGGAAGGTCTTAAGTGTGAGCTGTGTCCTGTCATGGGCTAAGATGCCTCCTCCCAGAATTCTTCTTTCTCCTGGTGTGAGGAGAGAGTAAAGTTCAGCCTCTGTGTTTAGTATTTGTTTGACAGGATGCTCTCATGGAGAGTTTAAATTTAAAAGCATCCCCACACTTCACATTTTTATTTCTCTTTAGAATGGTACTGAAGTCAGTTTAGGATATTCTCTCTGCAGAAGCAGGAGATTCCAGTTATGCTGCAGTTGGTGCAGCAGTGCTGTAGAGGAGCACACTGGTAGGTGGCAATTACACCCATACATCTGTTGCTGCTTTCTTTTCATTTTATTTCTTTTATTCCTTTTTTTCCTCACCTACAAAACATGAGCTTCGAAAGAGTTTATTATGCTAATGCTGAATTATTCTTCATGCTGGCATGAACATGACTGAACCTTTCTGACATCAGCCTTGTTTGCTTTTGGATAAACCATGTTCACACAATCAGGAATGTGCTTTTGTTCTGTACCAAGCCAAGGGTATCTATGGTAGTGATATAATGTCAATTATTCTAGGAAGTTGCATTGAGGAAGAATTACTTGGGACCGAGTTGCTGTGTTGTATTCTGCAGCCTGAAGCTTTGTCTTGATAAATTTCCCTTAAAATAGGGCTGAGCTGATAGAAATTGTTGTAGGTAAATCAAGGCATCCCAGCTGGAAGTGCATGTGCTCTGCTGTGGGGTTTGGTGGAGGGAATTTCCAGGGCTGGGCAGATTCAGTGCCAGACCATTTCCGTGCACTCAACAAGGCTGCAATCAAACCTTGGGAAGAAGAAATTTTAGAGTATGTAGACCTTAGGGAGTGGTAATATTATTATTGTAGTTCTCCTATAAAATTGAAATTGAAAAATATTCAACACTCTAGCTAAGAAAACCTGCTTTCCTATGTGTTTTTCGGTAACATCTTCATTGCTAGAATTTGTGAGTACTGATTTTTCTTTTTTTTTTTCTTTTTTTCTTTTTTTTTTTTTTCTTTCCAGCTTACTGAGGCAGGTTCAGGTATCAACTGCTTGGACTCCATGTGCTGCTTCTCAGATGGGGAAACAGCATGCACATCTGTTAGAAGAATGCTGGAACGACTAATGGGAAGGTGTAGCCCAACCCGGGTCAACAGGTGTGGCATTTCTCTCAATAGCCTTTGCTGCAGACGATTCTCCTATAAACTGGAACCCGATGAGCCTGCAGCAATAGATGTCTAGAAACCAGCTGCAGGTTTTGCTTATCTAAGTAGAAAATGCAACTCTTTATTGTACTTTTTTCATCCTAAAAGATTAGCTTCTTGTTTCTTTTTGAGTGGTTTCTTTTGGGATGGGGAGGGGAAAACCAGTTTTCGAAAGATTTCTGTTAAAGTGTTTAGTTTGGCTTTACAAGCTCTTGTGTTGTATCTATCGTAATTTCTCTTGATTTGTACATTCTTCTCTTTAGAAAATCAAGCCTTGCTCCTGTTTTTGTTTTCCTTTTTATGATTACTTTTTTGCCTTCACAAATCAGGAGTTGTTTGTAAAGTCGAAAGACTTTTCCCTTTGGTTCTTGATGTACAACCTCCAAATATTTACCTTGGAGCTTGCATTACTCCTGAAGGTATACAAAAGGCTCACCCCTTAAATCTAACTTCATTGTTAGGAGGAGAGCCTTTAAATCTTTCAGCCATTGATTGATATGAAGATGAAATATTTTTGTAGTATAACTTTTATAATCTATTTCTAAAATCAGAGTGATTGACAGAACAGAGTCTTCAGGTTCTAAGAATTTTCAATGTTTTTTGGGTTCCAGAAGGTATATTGTCAAAATCATGTGTGCCATTCCAAAGTATGTGCTAAATAAATCTTTCCTTCACAAATCACATGTGAAACAAACCTCAGTGGGGTAAAAGCATGTTGAGTAATTGAACATGCCTGCAGAGCAACACTGCTCTTGCAGTCAGCCCAACTGGGAGAGGAGCTCTACTGAATCCTCTCTTGTGCCATCTCCCCATTTCCAAACAAAGAGGGATAGCAAACAAATATGGAAATATTTGGGGGTAGAAATAAAAATAGTCTTTTGTACATCGTAATCTCTGTCCCTGAATGATATCATGGTCCTTCATTGGTCAAAAGGCAAACCTCAAAACACTGAACTTCACACATTTTCAAGGAAACTCATTTTGTATTTGAAGAACTTTGTCTCTTTCAGTTAAAGGTTGTGATATCATTCATTGGGTATCAAATCTCGTGTGGGTAATTTACCCTGACAGCTTTGTCAGCTCTGATTCTGCCTTTAGGTATTGCCTGGTCTGTAGCTCATCTCTGTTGGAACTCTTGTGTTGAACACGGTGTCTGTGCTTTCAGTCAGTCTCTCTCTTCTGGCTTGCTTATGAAATTTATTCAATGTTTCTACAAATCTAGGGTATGAGTATGCAAGAAGTTTCATTCCATATGAAAAATGAACTGTTACTATTAAGTACATTTTTAATTCAACCTTGGTGTGTAGAAAGCGGGCATGATGTGTAAAATAAACAGTTTAATAGAATTTTTAATCTACAAGGTGAGCATTTAATTGGTCTAAAAATCAACATTTTGGTAGCAGTTGCTCTAACTTTTCTGGGGTGTTTTTCACTTCTCTGTAAAACTGTGCTTTCCAAATGAGGAATTTCTCATGCTAGTTTGTTTCACTTATTGTTATCTAATTAGGGCAGATTGTTAGTTAACAATTGCCTTAGTAACCTGTAGTCTTCTTATAAGGTAGGTATTCTGTGTTTTGTTTTCTGCAATGTATTTGCAGTTTTACAATTTTCTCTTTGTTCCACTCAAATTTTCTTTCCTTAAGAACTTAAAAATACTTATTGAAGCTAATTCGTATTTGACAGAATATTAAACAGTTTTTTCAAGACTGCTTTTTGTTAGGTTTCTTTTCTGCTTACCTCATGTAGTTTTCAGATGAAGTTCCATCTGGCCAAATTATTTTAGAGTTCTTAGAACATAGACATAAGGATTAATTTCAAGGAATATGCAAAACTATCTTGGTGCTACACTAAGGGCTTGAAGTTCTGTGGATTTTGCATCTGCCTCTGGTTGAAATTGCTCTGAACAATCTTCTAGTTTCACTTAAATTTATGTACAGTACAAATACAAGAGAGATTTTTTTTAAAGTCAGTCATATTTATTTTCTCCAATGATTTCAGCTCCTTCCACTCAGTGTTGACAACCTGGTCTAAAAGTCAAGGGACCATTTTCTCCCTTAAACTTTTTTGCTAATATGAGAAAGTCTTTATTCATTTTTTTAAATTACTAATTGCTTAAATCATATGGAGCAGTTACAAGTTGTGAAATGCCAAAGGTACAACTAAGAAAACTGTTGGGTGATTTTAAAATTGTTCAGGCGTTGTTCATGAGCTTGAGCTGCTTTGTTTTTTACCTAAATCTCCAGAAGATTGTGCAGTCCCCAACAGGATGGTCTTTTGAGTACTTGTACTCTATAAAACAGCTAAGTATTCAACCAGGAAGTAGCTGCAAATTATTTTTGTTGATTGAAGTGATGCTGATGAATATGTTGTTTGTGCAAGTGCTGTAGAATGAAGAGCACTATTTTAAATAACATTGCTGTAGGCAGCTTGTGTTGTATTCTCTGTTCCTGATATTCTGTCAAATATGATATTCTGTCAAATATGATAACATGAAATCAAACCTTGTATCAAATTTTGATAAAAACTTTGATGAATCAAAGTGATACAAATGCTTGGAGTAGTGGGCCACAGGAATATAGTCTCTTGTGCTTAATTTACTGCTTGTAAAATGTATTTGAGAAGTATTTTCTATAACTTCATTAGCCAGTTAGAATATAAAATGTGTGGTGTGGTATGTTAAAATGCATTTTGTCTGTCTGTTCCATTAAATTGTCTGTTGACTTGTCAGTCACTAAAATATTAAGAATGCTGGATCACATACATCACTTGTACAGTAGGAATCATTGCTGAATTGTTGGGTCTCCCATTAGTGGTTCTTGTGTCAAGGCACTGGATGGAACAGTTCTAAAGAAACAGCAGATTTCTGACAGAGCCTAATTTGGAGGATAAGCTCATTGTGGTTTTTATTTCCTGCCTTCCAAACTTCTTCAGCTTTTCCCATACAGTCCTAGAATGCTGTGCAGCCAAGAACAGGATTTCTTCCCAAGCAGTAATCAAGAGAAAGACATTGTGAGACCCCTCTGAGTCAGCAGCTGTGACAGCAGGGGTGGTTCCCTGATGTTTTGAAGTGTAAGAGGAAGGGATGGAACAGGTTCCTGGCTGTAGATAAGTTTTGCCTCCCCCAGGCTCAGGCAGTGTGGAGGTTTCCTGCTGGGACACGGCTGTGCTGGGTTCCCAGGTTGGCTGTGTGCTCCAAAGGGCTCTGCTGGAGCAGCCTCACGGTGCCTCTGTGCACAGGCAGCATTCCCAGCCTCCCAAGGCACAGCACTAAAACTTCAGCTGCAAAATAGGCATAAAAACCTCTGGTTGTTTTAATTTAGAGTGATGGAAAAATAGCTGCAGCTGTGTGCTGATTACACAGCAAGCATGAATTGGCCTCTGTTTCCAAAGGTCTGAATGAACTGCAGGTACCTACATGAAATTAGTGCATTAGTCCTTTAAAGAGGTAAATTTGCCTGCTCTTGTAACACTTCTATCTTTTGCTCTCATAGACTTTTCTCCTCACCTCCCAGTACAAATACAAGTTCCCAGTCAGCCAAACTTTTTTTTTATTGTTACTTTAGATCATGGAGTTCAACGGATCCCTTCTATGCCAACGACAGGAGCATCTTGACTCTCTCCACAATGGACTCAGCCACTTGCTGACAGGGACATTTTTGAATGCCTTGTGGAAGCCCTGTGGTGCTCACACACCTGTAGCAGGTGCTGAGGCGAGCTCAGTGTCCGGCGCTGCCCTAGGAAAGCCCAGAGGACTCCTGAGTCCAGGCAGGGCTTGTCTGGCCTGGCAAAATCTGCACTGCAATTGCTTCCAGGATTTTTTCTAATTATATCTACAAATTGCTAAATAAGTTTTTGGTTTTTTGGGTTTTTTTTTAAGGAATGCTTTTACCTCTGACCATTTGATCCTTTTTGTTGCTGTATGAGCAGATTGGAATCCTACATTAAATACTGGAGATGTCCCTATAGGGCAATGACAGAAATCTTTCTCCTCCCAAATTAGAGTGATCCAATTTGAATCAATTTGAATCTGCGCAATTAAACTTTTAAAAGTTGTGTTTTTAATGACGACCCTTCCTTTTAAACACACGTTCATTTTAAGCTGTCTTGCAGATGCTGTCTTAGCAGTTTGCAAATCAATTTTGTTACTTCTGTGGACAGTTACTGTATTCTATAAGCAATCAGTTTAGTAATTTTTGAGAGTTAAACGCAATTCAAATATTTATGCTGGTGTATGAGTGGCTAATATATTAGCCATTGCTTTGAAAAACACTTAACTGTGACAAATCAGCAATTTGGAATAATAAGGGATATAACAGCTCACTGTTCTCCTAAAGTACAATTCAGAAACCAGTCATCTTTTATTATGCCCTGTACGTTTTGTTAACAGTTCTGGATCCTGACATGGAAAAATTTGTTAAGCATTGGCAGATTGAGCAGAAGTCTCACTAGCATAAATTTTTGAATTATTAATCCTTTTAAAGTTGGGGAATTTTTGCATGTTTTGTTCTTTTTCATGTATTTATATTCGGTCACGTTGTACTTTGAAGATATAATTAATGCTTAATTATCTTCGTCTATCGGAAGGATCCGAGACCTTGATGGCAATGTTTTGATACCTAAGTATGCCAATAAAAACAAATTGCACAGTTGGAGCTCTGGGTGGTGCATCCTGCAGGTGCCTCCCTGTCCCAGTACAGACCTGTCTGCATGATGGGGGCTGGGGAGCAGCAACATTTCACTGTTCCCTCAGCCAGGGTGGCTGAACCCCCTGCTTGTCCTGGGATGTGGGAGATGAAGTGGAGGTGCCTTAGAACAGAGCTGTTCATGGCTGGGGACTGGGAAAAGTGCTGCTGCTCCAGGACACCCTCTTTTGTCAGCTCTGACAGTGACATCCCATCAATAACTGGAATACTTGTCCTGTCGGACAGTTAAAAGTGTAAAGATCCATCTTAAAATTAGCCCTGGGTAAAAACTGTAAATCTGTGCTGCTGCAAACCTGGCTGACTGTAACTGGGCTGCTGCCAGGAGAGTGTCATCCCAAATTCCCCCAAATTCAATGAGCAAAGGAACAGGTCCCGCTTTCCAGGGATCACATCCTTCAGATGTTCCTTACCTATAAACAGCTCTGCTGTTCATTTTCCTGCCCGTGACTTTAACTGGGATTATTTCACCTCTCCTCTTGGAGCTTTGTTTTTGCATTAGTGCCTGGCAGCTTCTCTCAGACCTGAAGGCTGTAGGTACCGTGGAGTTTACAAGATCTCAGTGCTCAAGGCAACATCTGCCTAGGAAAGAAATGGTCATTGCAACTTCATTGTTAAATTTCTAGTGACTTGAACTTGCAGCACACAAGGGATTTTTCCCACTGTTACAGGTAAAGATCAGTTCAGAAATTAAGAAGCTTTAAAAATAAATTACGATACAAGAAGGAGGAACAAAATACAGCAAACTTTCCTTTTAAAGGAGTGTTTAATTCAGAGTTCATAGTGCATTTTTGTATCGTGTCTTCAGATGCCTGAGTGCAGTGAAGCTTGAGGCTGAAAATGTCAGTGTGCACTAGATCCCCCCAGCGAGTGCCCAGGGGATGAAGAAACACTAAAATTGAGCCTTGTCTTCTCATGCAGCAGGTATGAACATGTGGCTAACCCCCCTGCATGGGGCTGAACACCTGGATCCAGCTGGAGAGGCAATAATCCATCCAGTCCCCTCCAGATCTGCAGTAGTAGCAAAATACCCTTAATTTTCACCAACTCCTCTAACTTCCTTTATATTTCATATCTATCTTAAACCTGGGTTTAAAATAGTAATTTTCTTCCTAGTAGCTTCTTTTCCTAGGAGTCTTCATGCTGCCATGGATACCTAGGAAATACAGAATTATTTACTACTCTAATCAGATATCTGCTGTTTAGCTGTATTTTCCACCTCAACCAGAGTGTTTCACCTTTCAGCAGTGCTTGTTTGTCTGTGTCAGGCACAGCATTGTCCTGTCAGTGTGTGTGACCGTGTGCCCTCATCCATCCATGTGGTTCATGTGTCCTGCCCTGAGCCTGTTCCTTGTGTGAGGGGAGCAGAGGCTTTGCCCAAAACCCCACTCCAAGCATTTCCACTGGCCCAGCTCTGTGGGTGATGTATTTTGGCTTTTACCACACCAGTGTGTTGAGTAGATTTGCACAAAAGCAGCACAGTCGTGTATTTGAAGAATAATTTGCACTCATGATGTGTTTCTTTAAAACCTTCCATCTCCTCTCCTCCCTTTCCCCCTGCTTTCCCTTTTCCCAGTGTTTGTAAGGTTACCGAAGAAACTTGCATTTAAACAATTCAGGAAGGACTTAAGAATCCATCCCTCGGCCAAGGTATATTTTTCTATTTGCAGTAAATCTAAGTCAGTAATGTCTCATTGAGTAAGAGCATAGATGTGGTTTGCTTGAGGACAGACTTTTTGGTGTGAAAAATATTTTGTGTGGAAGTCACCGGGGTTTTGTGTTGATATCACAAATCTTTTAAAAATGCTCCTATTCAAGGAAGAAAGATTTTGTGTATTTCTTTGATAGCTGAAGTGTAGGAGCCAGTTCACTGTGCCCTGGGCACAGTGCAGAGTCCTTTATGAGGGAAACTGAAAAATCCAGTTAAAAATTCAGTGTAATGCTGGCATTGACCCCCCACTGCAAATGTGAATGAGTGGGGGAGGCTTTGCTATGGGGAGGAAAAGTTTTATTATTTACCTTTTAGCCTTGAAATCCATAAAAGCCTGTAGCAGATGTTTGTAGTTCAAAGCAAGAGCAGTGTGCACTCACTTTACTGTGCAGTGTCCATGAGGAAGCACCTTCTCCATGGGATCATGTTCTCTGCAGGTCAGTTCTGCCTCTGGGAAAAACAGGGTTTGGTTTTGTTACTTAGGAAAATTTTAATTGCCAAACTCATGCTTTTAAGAGGATGCAGTGGAAAAAAAACTGAGATGTTCTGAATTGGTACAAAAAATAAAATGTAAATATTCTGTTTAAAAATACTCTGTATTTTTTAAGATTACAGCAGGGAAGGGAGAACAGAAGCTTCCAAGGAAGGAATGCTGAAAACTTTGGTTTTTCATTTTCAGAAAGATTTGAGAAAAGCTTATGCAACTTAGAATGCATATTAAGCACCTATAATTTCTTATAGGAATAAAATATTATTTTCTAGTGCTAGAAGTGTCTCAAAGCTGTAGCCTAAATTATTTTTCACAGTTCTATCTGCTATTGCTGTACTTCTAAATATGTGATTTTGTCTTCCAAAGTGCTCAAGCAAAATGTGCTTTTGAACTACTTATTTTGAGGTTATTATTTTTTTTTTTTTGGTGTAGAATCCCTAATACCTCACCATTGTCACTGCCCTCACCACTGCTTTTTTACACAGATTGTTACACAGATGTCACCGCTTAAAGGAGCCATTCCTAGAGCTGGGCAAACCTTTCACCAGGGCCTCATTTTAGCCTTTATCCCGTTCCTAAGTTATTTCCCAGCCAGACTCTCTGCTTTGCAGCTCTGGGCTGGGATTTTTTTCTGCAAATGTTTTTCTTGTTGGTTGTTTCACACGTTCCCTGCTTCTGTTGTTTGTTCTCCGTGGCACGGTTTGGTTTCTGCTCTGCTTTGGAGCAGGAGCAGGGCCGGGGTGCGGGGATGCTCTGGCAGCTCCTGGATGTGCCAGGGACGTGCCAGGGAGGTGCCAGGCTTCTGCTTCCTATGGGTTTCTCTCTCCCTTCAGCTCAGTGCTGCTCCCAAGGCGTCAGGACTGGCTCAGAGCCCTCAGAGCCGCGTGTGCTGCCAGGGCCGCCTGCAGTGCTGCTCCTCCGGGGACCTTTGCAGTCACCGCCCGGCTCCGGCTGAGCCCGCCCGTGTCCCCGAGGGGGGAAGCGCTCCGCGGGACACGGGGACAGAAACGCGCAGAGCTCCCGGGGGCTCAGAGCGATGCTCGGCTTGGCTGGAAGAGACCCCGCGGGCACCTCCTGGCCTGGGGCTTTATTCATCTCTCCTCAGCAGTCTTCAAGGAAATTACTTCAAACTGCAGCAGGTTCTCACCCTTTTTACATTTTGACAACAGGATGAAAGATGATCTGTGGAGCATGCAGTTGAAAAGGGTTAAAAATGAGGCGCACCTTGCTCCAGGAGGATCTTAATTTGTATCTCAAAGAATATATTTTTACAATTCCTAGTTGCAGTCCTCATGACAGATTTCAGCGTTTATGTATACAAAAATCACAAATCATCATCTAGACTCCTGTTTTTTCACTGAAGAGGGATTGAGCTTGCTTCTTTGAAGGGAAAAACAAATGGTTTCATCTCTGCAAGTACCTTTTAAAAGCTGTTGATCCTTAATTTTAGGCAGATTAGGGGTGTTGCCTACTGGAAATGAGCAATAAGTTATACAAAGAATTTTGGACCTCTGACACTGTGGCTGCCTCATGTTATTTTTGCTCCTTTGACAGCGAGGCTGTGTGCTTGCTCCTTGTACAGCTTGGTCAGTAGTTGTTTTGAAAATGGTTTATGAAAATTATATTTATTAAATAAAATTTTCACTTCTAGCTGAGTCATTGTTTTAATTATGTAACTGGTAGAGGAAAAGATGGCAGAGCAAAACCAGGCTTGCTGCACCCTGGCCCATGAACAGTCAGGAACAGGGCTGGAGAGAAATCACCAGCAAGAACAAGAAAATAACAAACCTGGGCCACTCCCCACAAAATTCCTACAGTCCCCTCATCTCACCCTCCCAGGTTCCTCGCCCTAATTTGATTTATCCCTCAGACTCCTGCCAGTTGTTCTCTGAACACTGAAAAAGGCTTGAAATTGTATATTCCACAAACACAGAGCTGAGTTTAGAAAAGACACAGCTGCAGTTTCATGCAAAACATTCAAATTGCATTTAGGCAGCTTTTGCTGACAATTCCAGAAGCTGGGTGTTGAGTTTTCTGCCAGTTTAAATGGTCAGACTTGGGCCTGAGCTACAGGTGCCTACTTAGGAGCAAAAGTCTTGGTGTTTATTTTCTGCAGATACTTCTGCTTTAGTAGACGTTGGTACTAAACCAGCTTCATATTTACAAATCTAAGGCCCATTTTTGATAGATGAAATTATAATTATAGCAAGTATTTAATGGTGTGGTCAACTGCTGGAGAGCTCAGAGGCCTGCAGGGCATCACTGGTATTTGTTTAAAAGCCAACCCAGACAATTTACCATCCTCAAATAAAATCTACAGAGACTTCCGGCAACGTTATTTAAATAAAAGTGTGAATGACAAAAGTTTATTAAATGCATTCTTAAAAAAAAATTATATCTTTCTTAAATAAGGATGTCTCAGTACAGATTTCATTGTAAAACAGTTTTGAGGCAAGTCATAAGTTACCTATTAACAGGTTGATCAATAAGGAGTGGCTTTACTGCTGTACTCGAGGCAGAGCTGAGCCACTGCAGTGTGTGGTGTCTTCCTCCACAAGCTGGGGCATCAGCTCCACGTGGGACTTGTAAACATTGGGAACAAGCAACAGGCAAGGTGGAGGAGCAGCTTTTAGATTTTTTTTCCCCCACCCAAAAGAAAGACTTGCCCTGAACTGTACTTTATGCAGAACACATGTATTCCATGCTTTTTTTTTTCCCCCCCACTCCCTAAAAGCACATTCCAGAAATAAGTTTTACAAATAATACACTGAAACAATGCAGTACAAACCTCAGTCATGGCAATTTCACTGGAGCTTTATTGCCTCTGTTGGTAATGAGAGGGATTGTAAGAAGTTACATTTTGAACTTACAGAGATATGTAAATTATGGGTTTTTACTAAATATAATCTCAAGATTAAGTGTTTTATATCAGGGCACTTCTAATTTTGTACATATTTTAATGTATAAAAACAGTTTACAAACTTGATGTTTGCCTTCTTTTTTTTTTTCTTGACATTTGGCAAAATTAAATCAATCCATTTGCGGGGAGATCATCAAATTGAAGACATAAGCACTTACGAATTAAAGCAATCCAAGTAAGCAACTGGCTGCATTCTTAAAAAAAAAAAAAAAACAAAACAAGAAAAAAAAAAAAAAAAAACCAAAAAACAACCCCACACATATATAAAGGAAAAAGCCACATGGCCACATCCGAGCACGTTTCAGTACAAAATATTCCCTGTAACCAGGCATTTTGTCCTTAGAACAACACCCTGTTAAATCAATGTTTCTTTCAACTTCAGTCATTTTGAAAAACTTTTAAGATGCCATGATAGCACAAATAACCCTTTTCTGCAACATAATTAGTCAAAGTTTTTATGTATTTCTTTATAATTACACAGTAATTATAAGCATGTAGTACCAAACTGATGACAACACTATTTTGTTGGAAAGATCTTGCATTCAGAAGGAAGAGTCTCTAAAACACCACGGCATTTTGCCATTGCCCAACCCCAGACTTTTTTGAGGGACAAGTCTGCATTGGGATGAAAAGCAAGTCAGTTCTCCTCTCCAAGCACAGCATACTTGAACTAATCAATCTGAAACAGTACCAAAACCCTCAAGACAGAAAACAGCACGCAGAGATAACCTTGTCGAGCTTTTTTTTTTCCACCCCACCCACCCCATAATTTCAAGTCCCCATTTTTATTTACACAAAACTGAGAAAGGAAATACTGAAAGCAGCAAAACACACAGTTTTTGGCATAGCCAATTCCAGTAGCTGGAGAAAGTCTGCAATGTTTTTGAGGAATTGTATTTTTGGAATAAATGCACAACTGGATTTGCCAAAAGGGCACTGCTGTAAGGGGAGCCAGCCTTAAGGTCAACTGCACAGAGTACAAATAAAAATTTTAGCTGTTTAATAGTCAATTTTTCTTTAAAATACTTTTAGCATCTGCATAAAATCGTGCTGCAGTCTAGTGCAAGTACCAGTGACTCATCTCAAGAATAATTCTTGCCTTATCAGGGCACTATTTAGAGCATGGACTTCAACCCCCTCTTCTCACTTGTAAGTATGGTCTGTCTCCTCTCCTGGAGCTCGTTCTTTCCAGCTTGTTTTCCAGAGCAGGATTTATCACATCTCTTCCCAAGTAACTCAGTCAGGAGTAAAAGACCATAAAAGCAGCTCAAGAGCTCTTGTATTATTAAAGAATTGCATCTGATAAAAGCTGCTTTGATCCAAATGAAGCGATTTAGTCAAATGCAGCTAGACAGAAGTAGTGATGATCAACAAAATAATTTAAACAAAGCCAGTGTAGTAGTTTGTATCTGATCTGTGCTTGTTTGGGAAAGCTTTACTCTGAATTTCTGTATTTGGCAACCACAGTGATACGTCAATTTAAGGAAAACTCAGCAAAATAATTTAAAAAGGGTGTCATCCATAATGGCAGTACCTCTATGTTATGAAGATTTAACTTACCAGGATAATGGTTTCAAAACCCAGATTCATATCAACCTCACCAGCTTCTTGTACAACAGGGTCATAAAAGTCACATGTCTCAATTTAAAATACTGTATTGTGTAGCAAACAGTTAAGACACAAATTCAGTATATTCAAGTGTTTGATTTCCACAGAAATGAAAAACCTTTCTTTGACAGACAGATAAGCATTTCAAAACTGTAATGAAATCTGATTTCTTAGAGAGTAACCTAGAGAACGCTGGCTTCTGTGAGGACACAGCTCTGCCCCCTGCGGGCTCGAGTTGTGTCGTCCCCAAGCTGTCCCCAGAGCAGCTGAGCCACCAGCCAACCCCAGCCAGGCACCAGGGACCTCCAATCAACAGCCCTGGGGCTCCTGGGTCACTCCTGCCACTGCTGTGACCAGAGACTCACACTCAGACGACACCTGCACTTTTCCAGAAAAGAAAAAACTCGGACCCAGTACACTTAAATATATCACTCTTGCAGGAAGTGCTATCAGTACAGTCTTTGCAACTAGCCCCAAGTGTGTATTTAAGGGTTCTTTTAAAAATTGTTTTGATGTTGATCTGTATAATTCAGATGCCATACAACAGTTGTCTGATGATGACCAGCGTTGTGCTTTATGTGAAATCAGAAACCTCAAAATAATAATAAAGCTTCTAGGACTTATGGGAGATGAAACTAGGGTGATCCACCAACAAAAAATAAATCCATGATGAAATCCACAGTGTTGGAATTTTAACGGGCAAGAGTGGTCCAGACTAGAAGAAAAGCCCAAACCACCAGTAGAAGAATGAAATATGATATGGTCCAAGATGTATCCTTAAAGGTTTGTCTCAACCCTCAGCCATATTGTGAGGATTGATCTTCAGTTCAGTCCAGCCAGCAGAAATTGACTGTGCAATTTTCCATTTCAGGTATTGTACAGACTATGTACACTCTAGAAGGGTCCTTTAGTGCTACACTGTCGTACTTTTTGTCCCAGCAATTTGAGGGCGTGCAAATTCCACAAAGTCATCAATAAGAACTGGCCATGCCCCTGAAAGAGGAAAACACCAGAATGTAAGAACTTGGTTCAACAAGGCATTCTTTCACAAGCTTCCTATCCAGACAAGATATTTGCTTTCCAGTATTAAACTAGGCAGAATTTGAAGCAAAAAAATATAATTTTATTTTCCTGCTTAAAATTTAAGAGCTGATTAAAGATTTCTGCTTCCTTTAAAGCCAGTTAATACACATCACTTTCAAGGGTTATCTTCCAGACAAAAACAAAAAACTGATCAAAATCCTAACTCAACACTGACAAGGGAATGAGCAGGGTCCATAATTACTAAATAAAGTTGGAGCAGTTTGCTGCCCTCTGCTCTGGAGGTATCCCAAGTTTAGTTTCCCCCTCACTGAACTGATGTGCGGCCAAGGGCTGAGGGCAATCAGCTGTTCTTGGCTGCACATGGACTGAAGAGGAAAGATCGATACAAAAGTTTACAAGAAACACATTTGGTAGGAAGTGAGTTCTGTTCAGCAACCCCTGTGTGCTGCCAGCTTCACTTCTATGTCAAAACATGTCCAAGGCTCACATAAACAGAAGCAACCAGACTTAAAAACATTCTCAGCTACGAAATGCAGTAACCAGAGGACCCTACACAGAGCTGCACAAACCACGGATCAGTTCCTTCGATGAAGATGCCAAGAACTGCAGCAATAGAGAATCTGTGGGTTTTAAATGGACATATAGCAGGGTTTGTCTCAGTAAGAAAGAATTTGAGGTTGTCTCAGTAAGAAAGAATTTGTGGCTGAGCTTAGAACAAAGAAAGAAAATGGATTCCATGAAAGCTCCAGCATTTCTTTTTAAAACATTAATAACAGATATGATTACAACATGCATTAAAGCAGCCCTAACTTCAGATCACCAGAAATACTCTAATGGAGCTGGTTTTGAGATTGTGCCAAGGCAGATGCACAGTAATAAATGTAACATAAAACACAGAAGTTAATGAGAGAAAATGGCAATGTTTACCTTCCTCATCATAGTTAGACATGTCATCTGCTATCATTGTACTAAAGTCTAGAAGAAGGTTCCAGGTATCCTTAGGAATTGATCTTTTATGATGTTCCTGTTTGGAGAGGTGGAAAATTTAGATTTAAAAAAATAAATTAAAATCCTATTAGACATTCATTTTTACTGTCTCAAACACATCCATATCCCCAAAACATATTTCTGTTGTACACGCTATGAATATCTGGGATTTAGGTCAAGACAGTCTATTTCATCTACTCAGTAACTTAAACATGGTTATCTTCCAAGTTCTGAAAATACTGCAGTCCAGATTAGGTAAAGGTTTAAACTTACCAACAAAAATTTGTTCCACAAGTCTAGAAATTTAAATCTTCCATTAAGTACTAAATTCCAGTAGGCAATGGCCATTTCTAAATCTGTAATATTAAAATAATTACTTTTAGAGATATACATATCAAATATATAATCTCCACAAGTATCTAACACCAGGATCAACCATGTATCCATAAACGTGAAAAGATTAAACTAATGCAAATATACTCAAGGATCCTTTACAAAGAGGCAACCATAAATAAAGTGTTACACACATATTTTACATTTTAGAGAACAGAATTGCCCATATTAATATCTAACATATCCAAACCCCCCCAGGACATTGCATATGCCTTTTGCTATCTAGCAATACTTTAGTTAAAAGTCAGCAAAATATTTTTAGTTAAAGATGCTATTGGCTTGAAAAGAAAATTTGTAGTATTTTGTACTGAGACTTTATCTTTTTTAATGTACAAAATATAATTTAGATAAAACCAACTTTTAATGATTTCATTCATAAGGCAACCTTATTACAAGTGCTGCCTTTGTAATGAGACTTTTGTCAAGTGCTCATTTCTGTAGTCAAGATTTCCTTTTGAAAGAGACTCTTTAGGTAGTGTCCTTGAGCAGACAGAAGACAGTTGATTTATTTGGTGGTGGTGGTGTTTTGGTTGAGTTTTTGCTTTTGTGGGTTTTTTTGTTGGTGGTGTGGGGTAGTTTTTGGCTGTTTTGGTTTGGGATTTTTTTTTCCTTTTGCTTGTGGGGTGTTTTGTTTGTTTGTTGGGTGGTGGGTTGGCTTTTTTTGTTCTTTCCAAGCCTCCTGTTAAATTCCTGCTTGTTTGCAATGAGTGAAGCCTGGCCCGACAGATTTGAGAGCAGCCCCCTGCCTGTCAGAGCTGCTGGAGGGCAGCAGCTCCCAAAAAACCCCGGCGGGTCCGGCTGGAGGGGAGGGACAGAGCCAGGTCCCCCCTCCCTGGGGAGGGGCAAGGGCTCAAGGGCCAGGAGGGCAGACAGGAGCACATGAAGACATTTGGAACCCACAGCTCTGCCCAGGGTCACCTGCACTTCCAGGAATTACCAGGGGATTGCTGCAGCACCAAACCCCACTCACTGAATTACCAAATTCAGTACCCTCAGCTGCAGGATATCACACAGTGACCCCAAAAGGCTGCCCAGGTAAGTGGCCTCTTTTTAAAAAAAAGCTCTTATGGCAGACTAGCAAATTTCTTCTACAAACAATCCCCTTGTGGAAGCAGGGGGGGAAGGCACAGGATCAACTGCACACCTCGGAAAAGAAGAAAAAAATCTACACCAATAAACCAAGAGCTCCACTCCCTTCCTTCCCCCAGGATGCCCAAATATTTAAAAGAACCCAGGGAGGTAGATCTTGGAGGTGAAACCAACACAAACAAAACAAAGTATGAAATCTGCATTGCTGGAGGGAAAATAGGAGCTGATGAGGAGTTTCTGAATTGTTTAGCATCTGATATTAAAAGTTCTCAAACAGCAGAGTCACATTATATCTCCTGACCAAAGTACAGAATAAAATTTGTGAAGGATTTTCTGCTGTAAAGCTGCAAAGAGGTTTTATTTCAGACAAAAGTGCAAGAAGCAGAGACAAATTACACAGAAGTCACTACTCCTCAGTAAATATAGCTGTATCTGAAAATGGCAACTCATTCAAGACTGTAGAAGCTCAAAGTCTCTCTTTAACAGCAGATTCAGGTACAAAAACATGCATTTTAGCTTTCAACTAAAACTACTGTCTTTCTAAAAATTAAGATACAAACTTCAGAGGAAGCTGATCAGTTCCTCAAGGAAAAAAGCTGAAAACTAAGTTTTATTTACTTGTGCTGCATTAATGGTATGCATACAAAAAGGCAAGGTGATCAAATCACTGCATTTTACAGTGGTTTGTAAACAATCACTATAAACAAACTGTGCATTCTGACATTTTTATCCAATTTTGAGGTAATTCTTGTGGGTAAGCAGAGGCTGTTAAAAGCTAAATCTCAGGGTGCTGCAACCTCAAACTCACTGTATGAGTCAAACATGTAAAGCATGATGACATAATACCTTGGGACAAACTACATTTTTAAAAATAAATTATATTAAATAGCAAAACTGGAAGGTAAAGATACAATTTTACATTTCTGTAAGTGTGAAAATGCTCAGTGAAATCCCCCTGGATCAAATATAAGAGTCTCAAAATTCCTCCATTTTGAATTGTATCCAGCGAGATGCAAGAGAAGCAAACAATGTTTGAGATGAACACCAGCTACAAGGTATTCTCCAGTGAGATACAAATACCACAAGAAGTTTTCAGACACCCTCCTACTTACACAGTAGTAAGGAATTATGCAGAGGAAATATATTTCCAGAACTGTGCCTGAACTACAGCACAATGTTTGCAAGATTAGAGACCAATATACATTAAAATCAATTTGGCAAGTTCCTACAAGCAGTTATTTAGACACACCAAAATTAATTGCCTAACTAGCAGCACTTACTTTGCAGCTCTGTACTTCTCCCAGTATTGTTTTGCTCCAGGGTTGCCAGAATTATTCTGCCCTGTTGTAAATTCATGCCTAGAACTGTGTATTTATGAGCACCAAAATGGCTGGTAAGCATCCAGAATTTAGGCTCAGACTTCCAGACCCAGATTTTAAAACAAAAACAATTTAAAAACCTATCTTACACTATGTATATGCCATATGGATCTCAGAAAACTATCCCTGTCTGCCACTGCTAGAGCTTAACATGCAGGAAGAAGCTTTATGATCAATGACAAATAAAGCAAGCCAATGAGTTTTCCTGGGAAATTATTCCCACAATTCAGTTGCTGTCCACATTTTCCTTGTTGTAGCAGCCTAAAAAAATTACTATGATTTTCTACAAGAAATACAAATCAGCCTGTTCATTTATTTGCATGATTCAGAAATGACTACAAGCATGCACAAGTATATTCAGATGGTTTAGCAGCACTTTTAGCTCCTTTGGATACAATGAAATTCACAATCCACTGAAAACACAAACAAGATAACAGCCAGGTGTCAAAGAAGGACATAGAACTTTTGCTTATTTACTTATTTTTCAATACTCATTTTAAGACAAAAGTTGGTCTGTACATAAGAGCCAGTAAAACTAAAGCAGAAAGCTCATCTTTACACAGCCTGGGAATGCAAAGCTGTCCAGTGGCAGCCAGTTTAGAGCATTTTCACTACTGAGAAGAACAAATTCACAAGCTGTGAAGGAAGAACCTACCAGCCTTTCCAGATTTTATTATTTCTCAAAACCAGAAAAATTAACTTAAGTTACAGGATCATGAAAAGCTAGTTATGGCTAACAGCCAAATCACACTGTAGAGAAATGAATGTACATCCTGGCTGCTAAACATCACTGCTTGAAAGAAATTTTTATTCCCTCATTTTTGTTGTTTCAAATAGACAGAGCTACAGTTTGTTGCTTTAATTCCATCCAAAGTGTGATGTTCTGAAATTACTTTTAATAAGTTATTTGTCCACTCCACCTGTTCCATCAACTAAAGCCATACTCCACGTGTGAACTCTGAAATAATGGCAAAAAGCCTTCAGTGAGGTAAGGGGAAAAAACTCTGTAGGTAGGCACCAGCAGGCATCAGGCCCAGAACACAGGAATCCATTTGTACCATTCCAATTCTATCCTGCTAAGACATTTGCAAGCATTTCTGGTGTTACAAGGGACTGTACAAATGTGCTTACACAGAAAATGGTTTTAACAGCTTCAATTTATCCTAAAAGTAAAAATTCAATTAATCTGTTCAGTGCTGCAAATTCTAAGTGCTGCAATTATGTCTTTAATATAAGAACATAATCCATTGTGCTTACTGAGAACTGCACTCACTCTGAGCGAACAAATAAACCTTCTCCCATAAAATTCTGTAGCCTTTATTAATAATCAATTTGAATACCTTAAATTGACATGCATCTTTCAAAACACAGAGATGCATTTTAACCCAAGGGTGATTATCTTTCAGATTCATTGGATCACAATAATACATTCATTTACAGCTTTAATTAGCCATTTCCAATATTTATGAACAAATGCTTATGAATTAGAATACATACCTAAACCTTTCTGTCCTGGGTTCTTTGCAAAGTTGAAAGTAAATTGATAAAAATCCTTAAATCTTCCTGGCTCTTTTAATTCTTGCTCCATTTTAGGAATCTGGGCCTTCAGTTTTTCTATGCTGTCACATCTGCATTTTAAAAAGCACATTTGTTTGTATATTTATTTATTATTCATTTTGCCATAAAAACGTGAATTAAACAAAAATCTACAAACTGTTTGTAGAATACAATATGGTTATCAAAACAGAATTCAGGAAGCCTTTGATGAGTCTGCACCTCTACAAGAATTTCATTTGTTATTTCTTCATGTTGCATTTGCACATATAACCGACATACCAGGTTCTAGAATCCACAAAAGTTTTAGGAAATGTGATAAAGACTCCTGCACTCTCACAAGGCAGAGAAACCCCAATTCTGCCCAACATTCCTGCTCTACCTGCCAGAGCAGCTCTGTGCCAGCCACCACACAACCCTCACACAACCCAGGCCAGGCTGTGTTTTTCCAGAGGCAGACAAGCGATGCTGGGCTCTGAAACATCTCAGAAAGGACACAAGGCTGAGAATTCCCCAAAGCAGGACACTGGGTCACACTGTGACCATCTAACACTCAGTGAGCACTTACCCCAGCTCAGTCATTCCATCCATGAACTCCAGCTTTGAGAATTCACACTGTGTTGCAGCCCGGAATTTCCACGCGATGATGAGCACGGTGATGCTGGCTGGGTCGAGGGCTAGGTCATCACAGAACTGCTGAATTCCATCTATGCCAATCTTGTTTTCATCTTGAGGATCTTGGGCACATAAAAGTAAGGATCAAGAAAAACAGACATTTGAAAAAGCTAATTTGTTCAACAAGTATATTTAGGACAAGGAAACATTTTCAAGAAGCCATTTTTGGGATCTGCCCTTATAAGAGAGTATTTTAAAAACAAAATTAAATGAGTGCTCCCAATGGTTAAGCTTTAACAATTGAGGCAGTTACTGCAATAAAGCCTCCCATACAATGAAGATCATGTTATTTTAATTGAGAGACAAAAGCACCACAAACATTTATCTTCTGCCTAATAATGTGCAGGATCTTCTGACTCATTCCCTACAGAGCACACTGGTTCTCTCCCCCAGCACACTCCATTTTTGGCCTCTTTGGTCAGACTGATGAGCTGTGTTCCCATAGAAGCCATTCTGCAGTGATCATTTCCAAGTTGTACCAACACCCAAATCTGCCCATCCACAGCTCCCCCAAGAGCAGATGTAGGCATTTCCTGGCCCACAGGAGGTTTCCAGCATGCAGAGGTTGGACACAGTAACCTCCAGGGGGAAGTTATGCTGCTCCATTAGCGATTCCAAGTCAGCCAGGTCCACTCCTCCTTCCACAAAGGAATCAACATCTGGTCTGGAAGTGAGATGCTCACATTTCAACTGTGCTAACAAAGATCTACTAACACAAGCCAACACAGACTTCACAAAAATGGTATTTGGATTATACATATACAACATAGGAAAACTGACAGAAAACAGAGCACTCATTTTTAGATTAAGTGCTAAAACACAGGATTTGTTCTGCTCTACTGAATCCACTTTATGTGGTAGGATATCAGTTGAACACTGGCTATATAAGATACAGAGACTCTGTTTTCTTTTACACTCTCTTTGTAACTACCTGATAAGAACAAGCTGAATAAAAACCAAGGTAGAACCCATCCCTAGTATGCAACCTTGTCCTTTGTCAGGATCAAGTCCTGTGTGGTGTGCCTTCCCCAGGAGACTTACCTAAAATCCTCATTAACCATCACAATTACTCACTGCACACACGGTTCCAGCTCAGACCCTAATGTCCTATAAATGTAGATACATTCAGAGCACATAAAGTAACTGCATGTAATCCCTGTGAAGCAGAAACCTACCTATATTCCCCTTCTAATTTTTATTATTAGCACAGAAAAAAAAGCTGAAAGAGTCAGTTAAGATTTCCCAGCACAAGAGCACAACATCACCAAGACATTGTAAATAAGAATTATACAAGTATGAAATAAGCCTTAAAATTCAGGGTACTCACCTTTGTATCTGTTATATAGTTGTTCTAACTTCTTTCTGTCCAGTGATCCTTTAACACTCTCTCGTATATAAAGTTCAGGATTTTGGAAAAAGTTGTCTGTTGCAACATCTAACTTCCAGTCATTTTGAGACAGACAACTCACTGCTGTCTTTTCACTGGATTGTGTGAAGACCATAAACTGACGCACTTTATCCTTCTGTGATGATTTCAACTTGTTCTAGTGAAAACAGACAATACTGTAACTAGAAATGTCTACTGGACAAAAACACCCCACCAGTAAATAAAAACCAGTCTCTTAATGCTTTTTAAATCAGTCTAATTTTCCCAAGCAATCAGGATATCAAAATATCTGATCAAGTTCCTCCAGAGGTGGGGCAGAGCAGGCCATTGGGCCGTTCAGCACCTCTGAGCAGCAAACCCGGTGTCCCTTGTGTCCCAGCTACTGCAGGACCAGGGCCACACCTGGAACGGCATCTCCTGAGGTGCCTCTTGATGGCAGCAAGGGACCAGGCTGGGACATCCATTTCAGGGAGCTACACACTGAAACACCTTAAAGACTTCTTTTCCTTTAAAGAGATTTTTCACTTTGAAGGTTCTCAGCTCCACCTACATAATTTGCAAAACATTCCTGCGAGGAGGCATTGTCTCCATTTCACAGGTGCAGCAACCGAAGCTCAGAAAAAAAGAGGCAGTGGTGCCTGAGGCAGGCGGGGGAGTGAGTAGCCAAGGTGAGAGCTCAGGAATTCCAGGCCTCCTGCCCAGACCCAGCCATCCCGCCCTGCTCCAGCCCAGAACTGAATGCAGACTTGCTGCTTATCAGCAGAGAGGGATTCCCAAGGATATTTCTGATGAGGAGAAGCACACGCAGGATTTCAAGGGTATGAGTTACACAAAACTAACTGCTCATCATGAGAAAGCAATCACAGCTCCTGCACTACACCCAAACTCAGCTCCACAGTTCACTCAATACAGTCGAAGCAAACACTCCCAGTGTTACAACTTGGTACAGAAAAGTTCTGACAAAATTTTAAATCAGGATTGGATTCCTTACATGGCACAAGTATTTCATTTTTAGTTTACTTTGTATTCTAACCAAAACTTGTATATTCTGTTCATTATTGCATCTGTAATTTCAACAGCTCCTTCTCAGTGAATATGGAGAAAAAAAGGCAAAAAAAATCCCATGACATGATAAAACTCAGCCAAAGAATGATTTAGGAGCAGTATGTGCTCAAGCTCTTAATTCCAAAGTGTTAATTAGTGTTCAATCACATCATCATAAGAAAAAAGAACTAATGCTTCAGAGGACAAATTCATCTGTCCTAAAAGTCAGGATTAGTTTTCTGTGGCTTGATGATGAGTGTGAACACTTATTTGTAAGAATAGTTAAGTCACCAGCTTCAGTTACACCACTGGAAAACAATACAAGAACATCACATTTGGTTTAAACTGATACCCACAGAATATACTGAATAGAACAATACCCTGAGCACAGCTCCTGTGCACCCCATGTGTCAAGGGCTGGCTCCAGAGCAGACATTCAGCACCTTGCACTACTGAGCTCACACTTCCACAAAAATCTCTAACACTGACAAGGCCACGTGGAACAACTTCCAGAAATGACTAATGGATTTTTAGTTGCAGCTTTTTAAAATGTATTGTAAACTCAGATTATTGGAAACAAACCACTGAAAGAAATCCCAAACGAAGATGAAACAATCCCAAATTTAAATCTATCAATTACCAGCTTCCTGTAATCAGTTCCACACAGCCAGACTGCTGCATCACCACAGACTCAGCTGCACTATAGGGCAGCCATACTTAATTATCTTAGCTTTCCTTTTTTCTTTACAAAGCTGGTGCCTTTAATCTTTAGTATTTTGATTTTTTAAAAAACGTGTACACATAAGTATGCATAGCCCATTTAATAGTGAGTACTCTCTAAAACCCCAGGAGGCTTTGTTCTTCCCTGTTCCTGCAAGGGTGAACTCTAAAAGCAGTGATATCCCACAAAAAGTCAAGGAACAGGTTTAAGTAGGCTTTACCATGGATGCCCAGGACCACAGAAGCTGCTATGTTCTGCATCTTGTCACATAAAAGAAGAGTGCAATTTGTTAGAACAAAAGCTTGCAGCTTAAATGCCTGTTATGATAAAATTTAAATTCTACATATGTACATGAGATTTTCCCATGCTTGGGGCTCCCTAAGTGATAGCAACAGCATAAAACCTTTTTTAAAAGAAGATTGAAATTACAGAGAATCAAGCAGCTAATTACAACATTCAGTAAGGTATAAGATGCAATAAATCACACTGTTCAGCCATAATATTTTTCTTTAATTTTCCTATTTTCCTGGTCAAATATGAGTTTATTTTTAGTGAAGAAGTGCCAAAACCCTTTCTTTATAGTTGATGAATGCTTCTGCAGAACCTTGCCAATATGGACAGGACACTCCACATCCTAAGTGACTGGGGACTCTCTGCAGGCCTACGACAGGACAGCAAGAGATGGAATTACTGCTGAGTTTTTATTATCCTATTATAGCTCTTTTTCCAGCACATTAAAAACCCACACTTCAAGCAGGAACAGGTTCCAAACCTTCTGCACTTTTGAGGGCTATTTCTAGACACTGAGCACTAATACTCTATTATTGTTTCAAGTGCAATACAGAGCAGCACATAACCTTTAATCCTACAGTCATCAGGCAACAAATACCTGACACTGAAATTGTGCTCACTGTAATGCAACACAATCCATGTAAAACATCTCAACTTTAACACAGGTTAAAAAGGAAGACAGAATTTTATTTAACACATATGTGTCTTGCCTATATATACAAATGAACACCAATGGAAAGCAAATGAAACAAATTTGTACTCTTATTTCTTGGATCAAAAGGCAAAGGAAAAATTCAGTTCTGCAAACCTTTGATCAAGTTTGTGTGGTATCCAAGCTACCTTTCATAATAAAGATGTCACAAGACAGATAACCTTACTTTTAGAACACAGAATAACTTCTCCAAATGAAAAGCTACATTGTGTAGATTCATAAAACTACACTCATTCTAATTAACATCTGGTTCTATTATTTTGATTTTAAAACGAAGATTTGCCTCTTACAATTAAGTACCAAATTTGAATATTCTAATTCAATATCCTTTCCTTGATCAGATACTTCAGTGAAAAATTACAAATAAAAATTAAAATACTTGGACTTTTATTTCCCCAAGTATTTTTTCTCCTAGTCTCAGGTACAAAAAATGCTAGAACTTCTCTACCAGCTCTGACTACAGCATTATTTTTCCTTATCTTCTGCACTGTTTTCAGTCACCCCAGATTCAAAGATAAGTTCTGAACGCTGGTCATCAACATTTTGCAGACAGTTAATAGCTGAATGAGGGCTCCACTCTCCTGGATAAGGTTCATGGGAAACAGCACCAACCTTTGTCCCACACTGCCCGGACTGGAGCCTGTTCTTGGACTTGGCTCAAAGGTCCCATGTGGCCCCAGTGAGACAAGCAGGGCTCGGTGAGTTCTGCTGCCCAAAGTCCCCTGCGGCCCCCAAGGAAGGCACTCACACAGTCCCTCATCAGTGAGCGACTGCTTTGCACCTTTCCCGGCACTGATACAGACCATTCAAATCCTGGGAGTCTCACTGCTAAGTAAAGGAATTTGAACGATGTGACATCTGCGCTTTTGTTTCAGGCAGGACTCAAAGAAAAGCCTGTTAAGTTCTCATGCATGTGACAGGTAAAAGCCTTTTCTAAAATAGTATCAACCTCCACGAAGTCTCGGCCTTTGCACTGACTGCACTCAGACTCCGGCAGGAGCTGGGGCTGTGGGAAGATCCCTGCTCCTCCCAAGGACCCAGCTCAGTCCCCCAGGCCCGGGGGTGCAGCCCCTCACCGACTGCCACTGCTGTCCCTTGATGCCACACGAACGGCCAGGGGAGCTCTGCTCCTGAACCATCCCACCTTGGACTGTGTCCATGACAGGAACCAAAGGCACCTAAAAATGTCTGCTTTACTGCTTGTGTTCAACAAACACATGGCTAAAGCTTAACAGGCAGAATCATGAGTAATCATGAGTTTGTTTTGTAAGAAAAACGTTAATTACAACAGAAATCTACAAATAGAACTGCATCTTAACCCACCAACAGTGATGGCACACGGGTATACTACCAAAAAAAATCTGAGGTAAAGACAAAAACAGTGAAAGTAAATAGCCACAGTTTCTGAATACTGTAAACAAATATGTCCTTCAACTACATTTTATTTTCCACAGCAGTTTCTCTAAGAGAGGGCACACAAAGTAAGACAGTCAGGACATTTGTAGCTTCTGTTTCAAACTGATGTTAAATCTACTTGGTTGCAGTGGAACAGAACAAATACACTTTAAAAGTGTGTTGAGATATAAAATCCAAGAGAAAAATCACAACATAAAGTTGCTCTCCACCTTCTATAACGTTCTTTTAATGGATAAAATAATTTCAGTATTTGCATGCAGGCAGAAGGTCAATTTACAGCTACCAAGAATATTGCTGTAGATATAATGGTAATTCATGCTAACCTGAGAGGTGAAGGAAACACAAAAATCAGGGCTTTTCCAAATAAAAAAGGACAACATAAAGCAGCCAGTTGTTTAGCATTCTTAACTCTGGTCTGGGGCACAAACTCTATTCATAGTGTATATTTGCATTGGCACCATAAAACATGAGTAAAATATCAAGAGCTACATAATAAATTTCACACCTTGTTCTCAGAGTAGTTCATATTCTTGAATATTTTTTTCATGGCTCTAGTTAAAAGTGATTTAAAGTATTAGTTCAAAGGGATCTCTGGTAAGCTAGGAGAGGAAACAGAATCATGCACCATCTTGTCTGGCACTCTGACTACTCCGTCCGAAGCGCAATGCCAAGAATCTGAAGTTTTACCATGGGACAAGTAAACCTCAACTATTTAATATCAACAAAGTGCTTCAGACATGCATATGCACCACTGCTTACACGTATAAACAGCTGGCCTTGCAGAATAGCTCGTGGAGTTAAACACCACATAACAATGTCATGAAGTACACCAACATTACAGGAGACAGCGTCAGACATGAAATTCTTGGAATATGAAATTTTACAACTTCCTGTCAGCTGAGGTTAGCAGTAAGAAATTATGTATTTATCAGCACAGAAATATTTTCCAGAGAACACAAACTGGACAATATAATAGATAATATAAATAGAGATAAGGCTAGCACATGGCTCTGGATAATGATGTAGATAATAACACGCTTGCCTCGATTACCACACACAGTTCTAAATTCATTAAATCATTCAGAATTGTTCAGGCAGTGAAGATGGCTCAGAGTACAATGGACCAGCTCACTGCTGTGCCTTGATTCATGGGCACAGCACTGTCCTCAGGATGAGATGAAGCACTACCACTCCAACAGGGAAGGTGAAGGACAGCCCTTCTACAGGTGCTGCTCAGCCAGCTCAGATGAAGAGTGGGTAAGCAAGGCTGACTGCTCCCAGCAGCCCAAGGAATACTGCCAGGGTGTTGTCCCTTCCAGATCCAGGACAAAGATGGTTCAAGGGCAGGAACCCTCTGTCCTGAAGGCACAAAGCCATATGGACGCTGGTGAGACTAAGGCAGAGCCAGCAGTGCTCAATCTGGCAGTGCTGCATGGACAGGTAGGAGCCAGGCCCCAGCAGCAGGAGCCTGTGCCATGGCACTTGCTGTGCTGCACAAGCCACAGCCTCTGGGAGGAAGAGCCAGAGCAGTTTTGTGTACATGGGCAGAAAAACTGGACATGGAATCTCATGTTTCTGGATGAGCATCCTCAGATCTCTGTGAAGTCTCCCTATCTTTCCCCTACCCAAACAGAGGATTTTGCCATACCACAAGTAAGGGACAGAATCCTACACCAAGGCACTGGAAACCACCATACCTGTATTTACTACTTCTAAAAGCTGCAGCCTGTCATTTGGTCCCCCTTCAGTGTCATCCTTTCACCTGGGTGCTGGAGCCAACAAGCACAGCCTGGAACACAGCTGCTTGCACAGGGCCAACAGCTCTGCTCAGGGCCATGAGTGGAGTATTCTCATACTCCCTCCCATCTGATAAATACCAATCTACCAGCACAGAATTGCTACACAGAATATGTCTGCTGGTTCTTCAGTTAAGTGTTTCCAAGAAGACCAAGCAGACAGAACTCTGCTGTTTCTCACAAAAAGATATTCTCTGAGTAATGGGCCTCACTATTTCTGTTATAATGCCACTTTCTACAGTATGGTTCAATTTAAATTTCTAATCTCATAGCCACCCAATAATATATGTACATTCAAGTCATTAACTGTCTATTTTATCAACTGTGTATCTATTTTGCCTACCTACACTGGATATACTGTGAGACAGGTCTAGGTGATTTTTATAGAAAAAAGTCTTCATAAAAAGTTGTGTAACATTACTGTGTATGCACAATTTCAGACAGTCCCAGACCTGCAGAATTACAGTAAGACAAGTTTACAGTCAGAACTTTATTCAGACTTCAGTCCTAAGCGCTCATAAAAAAACACAAATGAAGATCTACATCAAACTATTCAATTAAAAATTATACTAGTTACACAGTGACAAGTTTATTAGAGGTCTGCACACCACAAATTTAAATGCTGGCTAACCAAATTTTTATGCCAACATAACTCCATCAATTAAAGGTGACATTGTAATTTTTTTAATATGTTTTTAACTCTGCTTGTCAGAATAGTATTAACAGCAAGTATAAAATATTTTTACACCAATAAGCATACACCAGTAGATCTTACAACTCCCTCCTACACCCTTCCTAAGACTGTAACACTGCTACAGAAAAGTACTGCTTTAAATTGTACAGGTGTAGTAGCTAAAGCTGTTACAACATTTGAATATGGAGAAAGCCTGGAAGTACTACTATAAACTGTTCCCTCTGGTGCATAAGGCACTGTGCAAGAAACCAACGAGGGCCTCCTTAATTAAATTGAAGGAATACATTTTTCTTTTGTTTAGGCAAACAAAACCAGCAAATGCTGTTCTAAACACTGCAGTTTCCCCCTACAAGAAGCAAGGGAGAAAGGTGATTTGGGAGTCCACAGCAAATCCTCAGTTACAAGAACAGTATGACAGAGAAAACGCAAGATAAACCTTTACAAGACCTTTAGTAGGATGACCTTTGCAAGGCCCTCCTTTACAACACTTCTATGAAAACAACCAAGACCCTTGAACAATTATCCACAAATTCCCCAACAGAATTCCAGCTCAAGAAGCATCAACACCCCCAAGCTTCCCTGTGAGCTGACAGCACCTAATGGGCCCTGAGTCGCCTGAAATCCTGCGGAAAAACTCCGAGCAGCCCCTGGATGCGGGCAGCCCCTTGCTCTCCCTCGGTGCTGCTGCAGGTACAGGGCACAGCCCGCACAGCGCTGCCACAGCACGGCCGCTGTCTCGCAGAGGCTCCTGAACCCTCACACCAGGTGCCAGCGAGCCCCTCCCGCCGTGCGGGGCCTGCCGGGGCCCCGCGGGTCGGAGCCTGGGCGGGATCCCGGCGCCCCCCGCTTAGGCCCCTGCCCCGAGCAGCCCCTGCCGCCCGCCCCGCGGCCCCGGCCCGGGCCCCACACGCCGGCCCTGCCGTGCCCGGCAAGAGGACGAGCAGCCCCGGGCCAACACATCGTGCCCGGCTGCGGAGCCCCCGACACCGGCCATTCGGCCGCTCCCGGACACCCAGCGCGCCACGACCAGGCCGCGCTGCCCCTGCCCGGCCCCGAGGCGCCGCGCTGGGCCCAGAGGGACCCCGGGCGGCCGCTCACCATGGTGGGGGCTGTGCGGGCCTCTCCCCTCCCGGCTCGGGCGGACACTGAGGGCGGCGGCGGCGGCGGCGCTTCCTCCGGCGGCGGCGGCTCCCGGCTCCTCACGGGCCCTTCCGCCGCCTTCCCCCGCTCATGCGCAGTGCGGGGAGCCGGGAGCCCTCACAGGGGGCGGCCCCGGCCGCGTTCCCCGGGAGCGGCGGCAGCGAACGGCGGGCGGCCCTCGCTCGGCGCTGAGGTCGCGGCGAGCACCAGGGGGGCCTCGGCCCGAGCAGGGAAGGGAGGGAGGGGAAAAGGCCCCCAAGGCTTCTGGAGGTTGTTACGGGGTGGGCTCGGAGGGGATGCGGCGGGAGCAGGCGGAGATGCGGGCTCCCAGCAGCTCCTCACCCCGGGACGCGATGTTGGGTCGGGGAATCTCCCTATGTGTTCCTATTTCGTCAGTATCAAAAGGTCAAACACTTTTCGAGCATCCAGTGTGAGCGCCAGGTTCGTGTGGCCTCCGTTTCCGGGGGCCTGAACACGGAAAGGGCGAGATTGGAAAATCCCCCGGGCTTTCTAGGATGGATTCGCAGAAGAGGCAAAATCGCTTGCTGAGCGAAGGTGACGTCTCGGGGCAGCAGCTTTACAGAGGAGCACCTGCACACCTGTAAGATTTCCCTGATTTCCCTGGTCCAGGCTGTGATCCCCTTTGGGGAGCTGGGGACAGGTATAGCTCTTCCTGCAGTAGCATAGCTGTACTTGCAGAAGGGTCTGCAATGGTTAAATCACGGTTTGTACCATTATCCCAGACAGTTGTTTTTTCCCAGGAAAGCTTACTCTACCTACTGCAGGCTTTTGGCAGCCGAGGGAGTTTGGGGAAGCAAAATACTTGCTGATAAAACTCACAGTGGTGGCAAACTGCTGTTGTGAAGGACAAAGGTTTGAGATCTCATCTTGTTCTCTCATCTCCTGCTGAGATTGGAGTTATTAAAGTAAGCTTCTGTATTTATTATGACTGGTATGATTGCACACACCACAGAGAAATTAAGACTTCAAAAAGCCATTCCTCATCATGGATGTCCACAGTTTATGTATATGTTCTTATAGAAAAGGGTCTGAATTTCTTTGCTTAAGTTTCTTGCTTACTTTCCTGAAAGTCAGAGCAAAGCTTAGATGGGAGTGTGAGGAGTTAAGTTGTATTTAGTGAGGAAAATCAGGCCTGTCCTGTGAAGCGTCCAATTTTGCTGGTGTACAAAACAGTAAAATTAAGAGCTTGATATCAAGTATACGGGAATATAGCTGAATTCAGCTATCCTTGGAGACAGCAGTTGCCTGGATACCTTGAATCCTACCAAAGAGCATAATTTTTAAATTGAGGATGGATGCAAATTGGCCAGCGAACAGCCATGAACACTGCACACCAGCCCAGTCCTTGTAACCACGGCAGGGGAGGCAAAGCCAAACCTGGAAATCTCTTTGATTGAGTTAGCTAATTGCCATCACTGTAACATGCTGTGACAGCCCTCCTGCCAGCTGAAGACACAGTTTAGACCTGGAGAATTATTGTGACATGTAACAATAATCTGAGGGATGAGCTGTGCATGCAGGAGACTCCTCAGGAGAGAAAGAGGATTTTTTAAGTGACTTGTTTTTTTCTAATACCTGCGGATCTTGCAGGTTTCTTGTAATGCAGGGTCTCTTAGTGGGTTTTTTGAGTGTATGGGTGCACACTGTATTTGTGTTCAGTTTTTTGACTGGCTTTTGGTTTGATCTCCCTAACTTACTAGATTGCTCTATATTACAAATTCCTGTTGTATAAGGTATGGAAAATCATATTTAACTGCTTCTGAGCAGGGCAGATAACAAGATCATCCCATGATATGATAATGAAATCTATTTAAAAATGTGAAATGCATATTGCTGCTATTCACAGCATACATACTACTTCTTGTGGGTTTTTTTCCAATTCAAGATCACTCCTCAGGAGAAACTGTACCTGGGAAAAGGTTGTAACTCTAGTGTTACTGATTTTAGTGGGAACTGCAGTGTTCTGTATTGGTTTCCAGAGTGCTTTCATGGCAATATGGCTGAATTTCTCAATCTGAGGTTACCTTACCCAGAGCTCTTGGTCACCATGATCTGACTAGAGTGAGTTACTCTCCAGCACAGCTCACTGCAATGGGCAGGCACACAGCTCAGGACACAGCCAGAGTACTCCAGTTCCACCCCTACCCACACGTTTGAGCCTGCCTACAGATGGAGATGGGTACTGGCATGATGTGTGTGCTGTCTGAATCTCACCCTCACCATTTCTGAGCAAAACCAAGCACCATTTCTGATGCTTTATAAAGCAAGAGGCAGCATGAGGCCACCAGAAAGTGTAAGTTACCTGAATTGGGCTTGTTACATGTTGCCTTTTGTGCAGCTCCCTGCAGGATGGAGCCCAGGTCAGAGCAGGGAGACCCAGCTCTGCTGCTTGTGAAGGTGACACATGCCCTCAGTGACACAGACGAGCAGGAAATTTCATTGTGCAATGTGCACGCAGCATAATCACCATGACCAGGGTAACATGATGACTTGTTCAATTTATTTTAAGGCTGACACACTTGCCTTGTTTTGTTGTGTGAGCCAATGATGTTTTATCTTCTCATGTGAAGCCCAGGAGAATGAGGCAGTGACTTTATTTTTTGTAAACCAACTGTGTCAAGTGCATATCTGAATCTAACACTGGTTTACACTGACCTGAGCTCTCTTCTTGAGCAGACAAATAAGTCTCATGTTGGGTCAAAGCAGAATCCATTTAGTGTAATCCCCTGGCTGAGAACTTAGGGCACTTTCTGAGGAAGAGGCCCAAAGCTTTATGAAGAATAACAATAACCTGGGGCAGCTTGTGCTGGATGTGTCTTTATAACCACATCTTTTTAGTAGCTACTTGGTGCTCTAGAAAATGCAACCACCAAATCATCATATCCTGATGTAACAGCCATAGGGTGATTACAGCTGTGGCCCTTTGCCTGCAAACTGGCCCCATGGTTAGAGAGAACAAAGTCCCATGAGCTGTCCTGCACAAGGGTAGTTAATGCCACTCTGTAGGCATCCAGAGGTGCAGACCCAGTGCTATGCTCCTGTTGTGCCATTCAGCTGACACAGCTGGAATGTCTCTATCAGCCCATAATGGGTTTTTTCTGCACTGAAAGAAGCACAGAGGAAGTAAACAGTGTGAGTCCTCCTGTAGGTGTCTGAGCAATTTAAACTGCAGTGACACAGCACCAATATCAGAAGATTGTTGTTGATAGGTTACAGGGAAGGGTGTTCACCTTCTGTGAGGTTTTTCATCCTTCCTGCATTACACAAGAGGTTAACAAGTTACTACACCCAGTCCAAGGCACTGTTAGGAGCAGTTTTCCATGTGATGGCATCTCTGGAAGGGAGCAGGACAGCTCTATGTCCCTGCTGGGATGGGGAGGAGGATGGGGAAAAAATGGGCAAAACCCATGGGTTGAGGTAAGAAAAATTTAATAATTGAAATAAAATATAATAAATAATAATACTACAACTGTAATGAAAAGACAACAAAGGGAGTGAGAAATGAAACCCAGCAGAGACAGGTGATGCACACTACAGTTGCTCAGTGCACCCTGACTGATGCCCAGAATGTCCCCAAGCAGCAATCAGGGGCATCAGTGCTCGCCACAGTGCTCTGTGGTATGGAATGTCCCTTGGGGCAGCTGGCTCAGCCCTGCTCCCTCCCAGCCCCTTGTACACCTGGCTGCTGGCAGGGCATGAGAAACTGGAAAACCTTTAACTTAGAGCAAGCAGCACTCAGCAACACTAAAACAGCAGCTTGCTACCAACATTATTCTCTCACTGACTCCAAAACACAGCCCTGGAGCAGCTACTAGGAAGAAAGTTAACTCCCAGCTGAAACCAGGACACAGATTAAAGTTAAACCCAGCAACAATTATGATTTTAAAACCCAGCAGGACTCCAGATGTGTTTTATTAATTACTGCTATAATAAAAAATATGGTGTATTCAACCAGAACGTCCATGTTTGTTTTAATATGAATTCATTGTACAATAAACAGGTTTTAAGCTAACATCAAATGTCTCAAAATTGCTTTTAGAACCCAGGCTCTCTTCCAAGTTGGATCACATAAAAATAAATACCAGGGTTTCAATTATCAATTTCTGCAATATTGATTTTTTAACACAGCATTCAGTAGAGCATATTATATTCCAAATGGAATTCTTATGCAGAAGGATATGCCCCAGTATTATAAAGGTACTAAATGATACTTACCTGTGAGACATTTGTGTGTAAAAATCTCTATTTGGAACATACCTGTATGAAAAGTTGAAGTATCTTGAGTATGTTCAGAATATACTTTGTGTAAAAGCTGTAGTAGTGTGTATTCTGTGTAGTCCAGACCTTAATCAATTGCCATTGATTGTCCAGTAAACACATTCTAATCAGCACAGCTGAGCTTTTTAAAACAGAACACAGACAAGTCCTGATCTGCTTGAAAAGGATTATCAGCAGCAATGAAAATACCTGTGAGAGTGCACTGGTACCTATTGCAAGGGACATATCAACAAGTTACTTTAATAAAAGAGTTGTGTGCCCAGATTAACTTTTTTTTCCTCTACTATTGACTAAATTTTAAAGGTCCTGCCAAAAAAGCATGAGTATTCATTTTTTAGTCAGCATCAAGAGTTGAAGCTATGATTTCCTGGTAACTAGCTGGTACAATCATTACAACAAAGGATACAACACACACTGGAAACTTTGTAATTTTATGGTATTGATATTTGATGTATAAAAGGTTAAAAAAACCCTTTCCAAGTAGAATTAGTCTACATCTGAAATTACAACTTTCCCAACAAGCAGAGAAAATTATTTATCAATCAGTGTGTCCACAAATTTTGCAGTGTTTTGATTGCCATCAACCCCATTAAATATGAGGAAACAGGCAAATATCTAGCAAGTGACTTGTCTGAAGTCACAGTGAGTCAGTGGCTAAAATAAGAACACAGTCCTGCTCTCCTGGCTCCCAGTCCAGCAGGGCTTGAGGCTCCACACCACAGAGCTTCCCTGGGTATCAGCCACAGGAATTGGCAGTGGCTGGAGAGTGCAGG